GATACCTTGTTAAAATCTGCCACTCTAATCTTTTCATATACATAACATATAAGAATCTTCTGCGAACAATATTTTCCAACAATCAAATTGGCGTAAGAAACATTTAACGTTAATATCAGACTGCCTGTTTTTTTTGTAGAATTTGCCCTTAAAAATAAATTTGCATTCGAGGATCATAAAGTACCCATCAGGTATTACGTGATCCCCATCTTGAAATTTTAAACTGTTACCTTTAAGTTAAAATATAGCATTCATGTATTACTGTTATAACTCAGAATTTCATCTTGCTAACTTGACATGCTCAAAAAACAAGGAGTGAGTGGGACCCTTTTGAGTAGTACCCTCTGCTAACGGATGCAAATGCTATCTAGACTTACAACATTCATATAGGGTGACAAGTACGTCTAGACGTTGGTCAAAAATTTTTCTATTGGTACTTCTTTGTTGTAAATACTGTTACGTTGCAACACTTCAAATCATAGATAAAATGTCTAGATTTATAAAGAAACGGTAACTTTCCATTTGTGCATATATGCCAGAAATTAATGATTCCCAGTAGTTATTGAGGATATACCATATTGCCGGGCACAATTTTGTACATTTCCTCACCCGTCCTCATTGTGCTATGAAATATGCATCCAATCCTTTGAGCTTTATTAGTTAAAGGCATGTTACAGAGGAAGTTTGGATCAATGCTCAAATGTACTTGTCACTCCATCCAAATGTCCAAAGTCTATATATATAACTTGGCTAATTTGCATCGGTTAATATACAATGGAAATCATATCGAAAATATCTCTCTATCCATACGAACAATGGTCCAATAGTATTTGGCCAACTTGTTAATCTCAAATTTTATACTCGTATTATAACAATAATTACAATACTCTCAAGATTACATTCTTCTAGGGCTCCCAGTAATTGAAAAAGTTCAGAACCACATTGTTATTTCTAAAAGCAAAATATTCACATTCTATAAGAAGACACCTTTACCTTTGACTGTTACACAACCATTAATACTCGTATACCCACAGTCGACATTATATCCGAAATACTTTTGAAACCAGCCGCATGCTCGGTATTTTCTAAGAACATAATGGTCCTAGGAACGCAATATTAGGTTACGCAATGTATTGCAAATGCATCATACCAATTACAGCGCCATAAAGTTATTTGCGTAGGTTATACATTGATACCAAACCAACCACAAAGTACTTAACAGGTTTCAAAGAAACATCACCGATAACCTGGGATTCCTGTGAATATCTTGCGCAACGTGTATACTTTTTTATAAATAATGCAGCATCAAATTTCATGGGTGCAGGATCAAAACGACCCAAGCATATAAGCTATCGAAACCATCATATGGTTGGAACTTTCCTTATGAAACTTATACAAAGCAAGAAAATGCGTGTACACATTTTAAATTAACAGCAATGCTTTCGAAATTACCCATTTTTCTCAGAAATAGGCTTCTCCTTTATGTTTCTTTCCAAATAAGATCAGTGCAGTAGCAAATTTTTAGACACTTTGTCCTTCAAATTCAAGGTGATTCAAAGGAAAGTGTCAATACAGCTAGAGCAGAAAGTACATACAAACATAAGTCCCTATAAACGTAGTCCCTAAAACGTTCCCTTGCTGAGATGCAGGCTGTTGTTGAGGTTTGCGTCGCTGACGGCACTGATTGATGAGAGAACGTGTATATTTTTGGAAGAGCATTGTAGCGTAGATGCAATATTTTCAATGACTAACTTCACTGAACCATTTAATCATTCAGAAGAAGAAATGGATTTAATTTCCTTATGAGGACCTTTTAGGGCTGAACCTCAAATACTGAATCATTTTCTCAAAAGCAAATAACGGTCTTGCTAAAATTTCTAGACTGTGAAAGCCTAGAAAACATTTTTTTATTTTTTCTTATCTGTAGTTATAGTCCATTTCATCGCTGATTTAGTTCGAGCCACGCGTATATAAGTATAGTTTACCAAACGTTTAGCTTTTTAATTCAAACTTTTTTCTTTCTTATTACAAGAAACCACAGTTTTATGGTGTATTATGTTTTATATTTCCCACGCCACTATTGTAATCGCGGAAATTTTAGAAAATGAGATAACATGTTTTTCGGAAGTTATGATACACACATCACGAAAACCGATTATCACTCAGTTCCGTCTGTCTGGTTGTCCGTTAGTCCTTAGACCGTCTATAAATTTGGAAAATACCGCTTGAGGTTTGATGAAACTTTTACATAACGTTACTACTATGACAAGTGCGAAAAAGCTTTGTAGTTTTTTAAAATCGTTCCGGTGGTGGCGGAGGAAAACAATAAATACGCTCAAACTTTTTTTCTTTTCAGGTGCTTTTGACCATTTTGAAAAAAAAAATGTGTAGGGCTAAAAATTGGTTATTGAGGGAGAGGGATATATCTCAATTTTTGACGCTTAAAGCCACGATAATTTACCTTTAAAACTTGATAAGCATTTTCTGCTATCTGCATTCACATTTCGACAAGGGGCGGCGTTGCCAGATTGACGGTACTATCGGTATGGTAGGGAAAAATGTCTATGGACTAATTGAATGGGCATGTTTGACTGATTCGATCTGTTTAGTTTTTTTACCCATAGCTAAATTGAGACGTTCATAGTTTTAATTTTGGTCTATTTTTTTCTATGTTCGAACTATTCCTTATTTTCCAGGCGGTTAAAGTTATGTCGCCAATAATTTCAGCAACGATAATATTTTTAGCTTCTAATAAATGATTTTTCACATTATCTTACATCAACAAAAACGATAACCTAAAATATCACATTATTTTGACTGTAGGATTTTTATGTTTATGACGACAGGTTCATTTTAACCATCCAAAGGAACACATCCCCTTAATCATTGCACATATTGTTCAGCTCACTCTGCGAAAGGTTGGAAAATCTCGAAACTAGAGATACTATAGACCAAAATATGTGAATTGACCTAAACATACCTCAGTCCAAAAGTTGATAGTTTGCAGAGTGTCAGAGTTACAATTTTATTTTCTATTTTTCCTTATTGCTTATTTCAGATTTTGGCATAAAACTCGGTATAGGCAGATTTTCTAGTATGAGAAACATGAATCCGTTATTTTTCATGGCCAAACTTCTAGATGGCGCCACTTACAGCACTATTTTGATAAATAACTTATCATAACTGTTTTGTGCTACCCTGTATACAACAACTGACCAAAAAATCTTATTTTCTTGTATGTCCACAACAAAAAAGGTTTACTTACTAAAGCTAATAGTTTTCGAGGTATTTGTTTTTAACAGTTCCAATGTACTATTTGTAGCATGATAATAAAACATTTCTATAACATAATAATCAAGTTGCTTTGGATAATATCTGAGTAGCGTTGCTATGGTTTCTAATGTTTGTCATAATATTGCTTTAAGCTTCATGAATAATTTTAAGTTGACCATAAGTTGTTAAACATCATGGAGTATATGTTTGACGAATATTCTGATATGCATTTAATGTACGGATTGACAACATGTAATGCTTTAAAAACAACTATCTCGAAAACTATTACCTTTAGACACTTCTAGCAAGTAAACCTTTTTTGTTGTGAAAATGCGAGCAAACAAGATTTTTTGGTCAGTTGTTGTATACAGGGTAGCACAAAAAAGTTATGATAAGTTATTTACCAAAGTAGTACTGTAAGTGGCTCCCTCTAAAAGTTTGGTCATAAAAAATAACGGATTCTTGTTTCTCATACTAGAAAACCTCCATATACCGAGTTTTATGCCAAAATCTGAAATACTTCTAAAGCAATAAGGAAAAATAGAAAATAAAAATGTTACTTTGACACCCTATATCTCGCAAACTATCAACTTTTGGACAAAAGGTCTGTTTAAGTCAATTCACATATTTTGGTCTATAGTATATATGTATCCCTTGTTTTAAGAAAGATAAAATAGTGAATAAAGAACTAAACGTGTTTGTTTTGTTTTATTTTGGTGATGTATTGCTTAACTCTGTAGAAAAAGATACAATATATTCAGAGAGTTACATGTAAGTTCTCAGCTATTCAAAGTTCTTCCAGCGTTCAGAAAATAATGCGGATGACGATTTTCGGATTTCGAGAATTTAATTTTTTGTGAAATCGCACACAGTTGGCAATTAGCATTCGTTAAATTTCACTAACAGACCGCCAGCAATTTTGCACGATTCCGAAGCGAAAAAAGCCCTAGGAAGACGGAACGCAACCGACAGAAAAAGGAATAACAAGAGATTAACCACTTAACCGGCGATTATGCGCACTTAACCTTGAATAATAAAGAATACGTGTAAGTATGCTCTCGGTTATACTCTCCTCTCGCGTTTCGAGTACTCTCCAGTGCCGCGTCATACCAAAATAATACTCTGTTAGTTGCCAATATCGAGGAATCTATTTAATTTGATTTGGTCATTCACTTCCCACGCATTGAGATATCGAGATAATTAAACAGCAGCAGAATCTTCATTTTTATTCATTATAGATAATGCAGCAATGAAATATATATATCGTAAACTTGGTGGCTTTGGCCATTTTTCAATATTTGTTTTATTTACGCGCGATTACATTATAATAATACTTATGCGCGGAATAGCATTTTTTGATGATTCTATAGATTATAATGGAATCGAAAAAATGTATACGTAATATAATTTGATTTTAAGTATTTGAAAAAAATTAAATAGGAAAATTTATAAAAAACCTGATTTTTTTAGGTCAAAAAACCTTAATGCGAAGCTTGACAATGAGGCGACATCTATGACTTTCATACAAAAATATACTATCATACAACCTTTAAGAAACTTTATGAGCCAAGTGAGCAAACTTGAACTTTAAGGGGTTGCCGCTAGAGGGCGGTCAAGGTCGCCCAATACGTTATTGGTTAATATTGGTCTGACTTTGGCCATCACATGTTTGCGTTGTTTTCGACCGGTAAAATGTGTGTTTTATTTTTCGTGATAAATTTAGCAGGTCGCATTCAATTCTAGGGAAAATGGGTCGCTACAAAAGAGTCATAGGAAGCAGGAATTACAGCAATTATACCACAGCACAACTAGAAGAGGCACTTCGACTGATTAGATCGGGTGTAATATCACAAGTTCTACGAGATTCAAAATACCTCGAGCGACATTGCGGAATAAGCTGAAGGAAGTGCACAATAGACCTGCAGATGGCCAGGGCCGTGTTGTCACTGGAGGAAGAAAAAAAGATCGAAGTAAATCTATTATTAACATCGTCATATGGTTTTCCTCTAGATTCCCTAGATTTAAGAAAACTTGTGAAGTGCTATCTAGATCGAAAGGGTGTAGTTATAAGCAGATTTACAAATAATCTTCCTGGTAGTGAATGGGTAAGACTATAAGACTATTTTTAGAAAGACATCCAGCAGTGACACAAAGTTTTGTTGCAAATATAAAATTCGTTCGGGCCGGCGTTTCATTTGCCGTTATTAATAAATACTTTGACCACTCAGAAGAGGAATTAAGGGGGATTCCATCGACAAATATTTGGAATTACGATGAGTCCAACTTATCCGATGACCCAGGTAATAAAAAAGTTTTAACAAAACGGGGCTGCAAATATCCTGAGCGCATCCTGAACTCGTTCAAACAATATACAGGTGTAATGTTTTGTGGAAACGCTGTAGGCACAGTTTTGCCACATTATGTTGTTTATAAGGCAAAAAATATGTATGATACCTGGAAAAAGCGGGTGGTTTGAGAGCCATATATTCGAAGACTGGTTTGAATATTTAGTTCTTCCTGCTTTAATGCGTTTAGAGGAACCCAAAGTGCTGATTGGCGGTAACTTCTCTTCGCATCTAAGTGTGCACGTCATAAACCTATGTTCCCAATATGACATAAGATTCATTTGTTTACCACCTAACACCACACATCTCAGTCAGCCACTTGACATCGCATATTTTCGGCCGCTTAAAATGAAATGGAGGCAAATCATAACGGATTACAAACTTAGTGGAACAAATAAAACAATTCCAAAATCAGATTTTCCGCATTTGCTTAAATTAGCGACAGACTTATTATTAGAATCAGGAAAAGATAAACGGTTTCGAAAAAGCAGGAATTTACCCCCTAAACCGGATGAAAATGTTGGAGCGAATACCATCAAATGATAATATCGATCCCGATGTCCAGACCAATTTTGGTGCCGCTGTCATCGAACTACTTGAAGAACGAAGATTTTCCGGTCCAGCAAAACAAACTACCAGGAAAAAAAAGCTCAATATAATAGCAGGAAAGAGCATTTCAATCTTAGATTTGCAAAACGAACCAGTTGCAGGACCTAGTGGTATTAAACAAAACATTTCTAGTCATTCCGAAAGCTCTGTTACTATGTCACTTCAATCGGAGGGAGAGCCTGACGATGACATTGAAAGTGAGACTAAATTTACACAAGAAAATACAAGCGAAAGCAACACATGCAAAGGAAGAAGTGAAATAAAAATTGGGCAGTTTGTCCTATTTTTATATGAAAAACATATTTATCCTGGGCAACTTATTGAAATAAAAGAAGATGAGAAGCAATACAAAATAAAATCCTTAACACCTAGTGGATTGTTGCAGTGGAAGTGGCCGAGTAAAGATGACATCATCTGGTACGAGGAGGATGACGTTTTACAGGTCATAGAGACATCTATGCCGTCCAAAAGAGATTTCTTTAAAATTCCAGATGTCGAAAATTATAATTTAGGTTAACCGTGTTATTTTTTATTATTAATTTCCCTTCGAAAGAATTTGTGTTTTTTTTATTTTACCAAAGAACTTGTGTGTTTATTTTTAATTTTGCCAAAGAATTTGTTTTTTAAATTTTGTCAAAGGATTTGTTACCTACCTTATTTGCGTTTAAATTAAGTTTAAAACACTTTTTTACATCTGTTTACAAATTTTATAAATAAAACAAAAAAAATATATGTCATAAGTATTTTTTATTTAGAAACCCTCAAAAAATACTTCAAACATACTTGGCCATTTTTTTCATGGCCAAACTAACACATGCTATGGCGTGTATTTGCGTTTTCTAAATGAAACAACATGGGGCTAAAGTAACCCAACTTCACCATCTGACTTTGGCCACCCAGGTTTTTTTTTAAAAAATATATTTAGAATGTGTTTAGCTCCTTCTCCATTTCAAAGTTCAAAGTACTAATACAAACCCATAAAACGCGACTGGAAACAAAAATTAATATCATTTGGTGTAAAACTTATCAAAGTGTAAAGCTCAAAAGTGGACCAAAGTAACCCAAGTTACGGTACATATATATATACAGGGTGACTTCGAAGTTGAGTCATTTATTTTAACAGTGAGTAGATCTGATCAAAAGAAATGTTTTTTTCCTTTACCATTTTTCTGGTAAAATTAAAGTAACAAAGTTATAGCCCTTTGGAAGTTTGAGTACCGCCCTGCCTATTATATGTTCGTGTTTGGTGACAACGGATATAATCCGCCTGACCGGTTCATCGCATCGGAAACAAAAAAGCGAAAGAATTTGAAACGTTTATCACGATGTTTTTCGTCAGTCGATAACGCGTAAGTGAATCAGGTGACTTAAGACCTCACAGGTCAGGGCATGCTGCTCCAAGACCGCACGATACTTTATTAAACAAGGTAACATTTTTTTTTATTTATTTTTTTATTTTTACACACATATTTTGGTTTATCTTCCTTCTACAATCATTATCTGAAAATTAATGACTCAACTTCAAAGTCACCCTGTATATATATATATATATATATATATATATATATATATAGGTGAAAAAGTAAAGCTTCCGCCTTTTGTTGGGTACTTCGACAAAATTTAAGCAAATAGGACTCTTTATACTTTTTTAATTCTCTTTAGCTTTCAATGGACTTTGCCATCATCATCAGGAGAGTAGTATGTGAGGATGTTGCTAATTGTTGTTTACGTATAGGATGAGGGAAACGTCCAGTAACATGGTGAGAGCTGGATAGATGGTACAATGGTCAAAATTATATAAAATATGACAAGAACAAGTTAAAAACAGATTAAAAATTATTTAAAAAACATTAGAGCATTACATCGTGAAGCCACTTGATGATTGCACAAAATGGTGGTCCTACTTCTTCACGTAACTGGTCTAGACGACAATGACCACGTCTCAAAAAAAAAAATATATATATATATCAGAAGTAGTCATTGCCAAAGCCAACGACTAGTTGGGTACAAAATACAATTACTTGTTAGTTGGGACTTTAGCCTAAAAGTTTTGCCAATTTGCCAACTAACAAGTAATTGTATATATATATATATATATATATATATGTGTGTGTGTTAACGGGAGTTAACACAAGCATACGGATCTATATCGGATAAGAGTTTTTTTTTCGCAAATAAAGAGACTCAACGTTGGCAACTCTTTGTCACCGATCCTTTTCTGAAAGGTACCTGATCCTGGATCACCTTACAAAATATCCTTGCCAATCTCAAATATTTCCTATAAATATGATCTATATAGTGTATATCGGGGCACACTGAATAAAATAATCACGTTTCTGCAGGCCTTTCAAAGTCAGTTTTGTATAAAATCTATCCTTCAAAGTTATTTCTTTCACCGAATCGATATTATTTTAATGCCTAGATGCTTCCTCTGCTAATATCTGGATCTGCTACTCTTTGTTCTTTTTTTTTCATATTTATTCTCGAATTACTTCGCTTTGATTTTGTCTAGTTTCTGAGATACTATGCACCTGTTAGATACAAAATGTCTCACATATTTTGACTTTGACTTATTTCTTTTCTTTGAAACCCCCCATGAAGTATAAAGTCAATCTGCTTCCATTTTTTCAATATGCTGTGACCTCAGACAACACGTTTGGAATGGGGTAAATGTACTTGAGGTCATCTTCTTGAATTATTATTTTTTATTCACGCTCCTTTAAAATGCATTTACGAGCCCACACTGATCTACATCCACACAACCAGAAGAAATCAATGCTGAAACAAATTTATGTAGTATTTCGTTTTGTAATAAAATGAGTATTAAATGTCCATTGTTGTACCCGCTGGGTCTGGTTCGAAATCAAATTAACCATTATTGCATGTGTAAGGAAATAGGCAATTTAGATGAACAAGATTAAAGTGCTGGTAGTTATTGTTGTCATTCGAAACTTGAACGAGCGGCAGTATTTGCTCCAGGTATTTATAGTGAGTAAAGCTTGTAATGGTTCTTAATTTCTCACGATTAGTGCTGAGAGGCAGGCAGTCAGATATTCAGAGAGTATTATTTTTTTCAATACCTTACACGTTTGCAAGTGGTACTTTCATTATTTGGAGTCTCATAGTACTCTAGACAGGTGAAGGTCAAAAACTTTTGTTCTTTGATGTTCTCTGGAGTAATGAGAATATCACATTTTGTAAGTCGATCAAGGGCGAGAAGAAATAAATGTGAAAATATAGCAAGTATAATAATTATATGCTTTATTTCGTAATTAAACTAACCAAAATAATATAATACAATAAGGTACCTGTACCAAATAAGGCCGCATTAACGTTTGGATAGCTGTAACTGCGTAAATATTTGCGAAACGACCTTGAAATTTTAAAGGTATTATTGTAGATATGTTTATTACACAAGCTACATCGGAGAACTCGGAGACCTTTTCTTTTCATATAAAAAAAATATATTTTTCGAAACACTACCGTTGGCGTTATTAGGAACCCATGTATACAAATAAGGCCACCATCTGGTTTTCAATAAAACCACAATCAAAATGTAAATCAAGACTGTATAATAAACGAAGCTATATTTCTTATAAAACAAAATTAAAAAAACACTTAAATCTAGACAGATTTAAATAAAAAAAGTCAACTTGTTTAAAGAAAATCATACAGAATCTTAGATTTTGCCTTCGCAATGATGACAAACAAATGATACTTTATCACCTCTACACAAGCCTACACATTCCTCATGGACATATCTTAACATACTACACACAGACGCATTTCACGTTCTTCATCCTTATCGCATATGAAACAGTACCAGTTTTCGTCTTTATTCTTTTGGGACCTTTTGCTTTTAACGGTTCCAGACTCACTAGATTTTTTTATTGTTTTATCTAAGCCGGATTGACCTGTATTTGGGTCTTTAAACAAATCTCTTACGACGATTTGCGCAGTAGAATTGATGGCTTTTCGTCTTTTTGTGGCGTTGGCCTTCCATTC